TCTTTCTTTCTTTCTTTCTTTCTTTCTTTCTTTCTTTCTTTCTTTCTGCCTTCCATTCCTGTGTAAATTCCCAATATTTTAATAACTAAAACATTGGGCATTTTGTGTGGATTCATTTTCTATAAGCTATCTCTCTTCATAAAATCTTAAGTAAGTTTTTTAACTCAAGTACCAACATTAAAAATTCATATACAATCCTTTTAATGTCATTACTAAAATTTCTCACTAATGATCTTGGGGGGAAAATAGAGACAGATTGTGAAACATACAGTAATTCACACATACACTACAATGTATTATTTACAGCTAACATGGGTAAATTGTAATTCACTTTTTTATCCCTGGCTCTGGCCCTCTGCCTTTTTTAGATGCAATCTGTCATAAATAAATTTGGCATGTTAACATTTGTTATTTGACCTTGAAAAGCACATATAGAAACTTCAACAAAACATATTCTTCCTGAATGTCTATATACATTTACATTTAAGACAAAAAAATTTTTTTAAGAAGTTGGCAGATAGCATAGCCCAGAGTCATTTCACTGAAGAAATATTTCAAATATTAACTTTCGTAATTACAAAGAACGATCTCTGTATTAAAGTTGTTTTCAAGGGATTTATACCCAGAAGAATAAATTTCAAATTACATTTCCACATCTTTCCAAACTCCACAGATAAAAAATTAATTTTTTCACATTAACATTTTGACAAATAGCAAAAAAAAATACCGTATGGAAAATATTTGTTTGACATTTTCTGAATTCATATTGCAGATTAGATTAATCACCTGCAATATTCCAATATCTAAAGTCAAAATTTTACAACCTGATCAATATAATTTCTGGTCTAAATTGTAAGAATTCTTAATATTCACTAAATTCCAAGAAGGAATTGCCATTAGACAGTCCCCACTCACTTAAACTATAAATTATAATTGTTAGTTATTATTTTTACTTTTTATTTATAGTAATGTTTTTTCTCATTTTAATTTTCAACATGTTTCAATGAAGGTAGTATTTAAAGTAATCCAAATTCTGTTTCAAGAAAACTGGTGTCTGAGGTTGGTACAAATGATATAAACTGAACAGTTTTATGTAAGCTTGTAAATCATAAAAAATGATACAATTATGTTGTGTGTTCTTATGAACAGTCTGTTCCCAGAAGAAGCTGTTATACAAAAAGATTTGAAATGAAACTTATCTCACTTAAGCATGGAGAACAATGTAAGAATTTCCTAGTAGATAAAATAAAACAAAATTAAGTTTTAAAAATT